TCCCTACACTATAATCTCAAATTAACTAAAAGAAATGTGCAATGAGTACTGTATTATGAATCATTAACCAGCTAATAATGGCCAACGCTTACAAAGGCCCTGGTAGATGTGGTTTAAATCTAGAGTAAATTCCATAGCTTTAGACCAGCTATAAAACTATGTTATATACTTAAAGATATTTAAGTCATTCAGCAAAATCTTACTTGGGGCAGGGAGAGAAAGTGTGCTGGTGAAAGACAGGAATGGAGATAAGCAAGTGCCTGGTCATTAAATGCCTTGAAAGGAGTTTGGACTTTATCCTATATGCAATGGGAAGCTTCTAAGTAATGAGACATTTTAAGTAAAAAAATAAGAAGATTATATTCATAGCTTAGAAATTTCATACTGACCACACAGAAGAGAAATGATTAGTGGGAAACAATACTAGAAAATGACTTTTAGATTAATATTTATTGAGCACCTAACTTTTATGCAACGCTGACCCAGTAGTACTACTGCTGGTGGTGTGGTGGTAGTTGTTATTACCATGGCAGCTAGCATTCGAAGAGTATGTACCAAGCACTGTGCTAAGTACTTTCCATATGTTATCACATTTAATCCTTACAACCCTATAAACTGAGAATCACACTCATTTTAAAGATCAAAAACTGAAACATGGTTTTATAATTATTTGCCCAAGGTCACGCAGCTAAAAAGCGGTGCAGCCAGGATTTGACCCTACCTCATCTGACTGAGCAAGGGATTAAAGAAAGGGCTGGAGATTTAATGAGAGTGGTAGAGAGGAATCACTATGGAAACAGCACAAGAGTGGTTGGCAGTAAAGGAAGCCCAGCTGAAGTTGGTAATCATTAAATTATGATACCAATCTTTATCAGACTTTCTCAGTAGTCTATATGCAACCATAGAGAAGGTAGTCAATTAGCTTCATGCAAAGCTGGATTATCACCAGGCAGGAAAGAATTTAGAAAACATGGTAAAGGAAGCTAAAAATACCAGCATGAAACTGTGGACCACAAAAACTCAAGTTGGATGAAGAAAGAAGAAAATTCAAAAGATGGAGAAAGAAAGAAATCTGATATTTAAAAGTCTTGATGAAGTCAAACAATTGCAATAGTCTTGCAAGTATCTAAGAAACAGATCTAGAAAGACAGGAAGTTCTATTTAGAGAGAATTTATAATTTCAGAGATGAAACTATTCCTTATGACAAGGTCCCATGATAAAGCCATGATGTAGGTGGCAGATGAAAAATACTGATGGTCTCTGGAAATCAAGTCAAGGAATTGGGAGGTCAGAGTATATACACAAAGAAAAACGGGACCTACTTAAGGGGCTTATAGATATAGCTAATTTCAAATACTCTTATTTAAAATGGATTAACCAAATAAAGAAATAAATTGGCAGTGATTTTACATGTTGTTAGAACACACAAAATTCTGTAATAACACAACTTCAAAATAAGATCTGAACATTTTTTAACAACGAGTTATAAGTGCTCCTGGTAGATACAAAATGAAAACACATAAAAAGTACATTTAGATTATAATAATATCTTACTCTTCCAAGGATATCCACAGGTAACTTAGAGTTGAGCAACACTGGTTTCACTTTATCACCTGACAGAAATCCATTTACTGGGCTTAAACTATCAAAAATTGCATCATATGTGGCCTTATCTTCAGACTATAATATAAAAAAGATCACAAGTTAAAATAATGGTGAAAAGGATTTAACTGCAGTTATAAAAATTAAGCCCCCAAAGAACAGACAACATATTTTTCTAACTCTCATTTAAAAATCATTTTCACTTTTATCAAAATATAGTAAATAATAATTTAAGTTACTCTACTCAAGAGTTCAATATCCCCTCTATTCCTTCTGTACCTGGAACACTATCTTTGCTTTTCTACTGTTAGGTTAGAATCAAAAGATTTCGGTGACAGAAGGGTTTTGAGAAGAACACCTTAGCTGAACCCTCTCACTTAAACAGATCCATACCAAGGAAGTAATTTTTATAAGAACACAACTAGTCAGTGACATTCTATCACATATCAAACTCAAACAAATTTTAGAAAGAAAATCACTACCATAGGAATGATATCAAGCTTCACACATTTTCCCCAAAGCAAGATTTCTTTTTCTTGTCAATAACAAGAATTTCCTAAAATCCTGAAAAGTTACTTGTATACAAAAAACTATTGTTTATGATTTGCCCAGTCATGGCCAAATCCTTACAATATTTAAATTAATTAAGAGCACACAGCATACACAGACAAACGAACCAAAATGGCTTTCTGACAAAACTGTACACATTTATTAAAGGTCTTTTGATATGCTAAATTATAATTCTACTTAAAATTATAATTTAAAAAATCAAGTAAGATAGTTATAACCAGCGTGGTGTCTCCAAATAACTATAAAGCAAAATATCCATTTCATAAAAGATTTCATAAATAATTATTTATTTTAGATCCATAAAGAGAATATCTATTTAACCAGAATTTTTAAGCAAGAAATAATACCAGTGGGGTAAACTGCCTATTCATCAAGTATTTTAGTTAATACAGGATATGACATCAATTATTCTTAGTTTACAATATAACAGTAATGAGATTAAGCCAATATTGTCACAAAATGATTGACAGAGCTGTAAGATGCCTCCAAAGATTTCTAATACCAGTATTTCCCCAATGGTGAAAAATGAAAGTCTAGTACAGATTACCAATATATCTTGAAAGCAGGGAGAGAGTATCATGTTGAAGCAAAACAGAGTCAAGGAGAAAATAGTTACTTACTTTTACGGCCCATGGGAGCTCAGCTGCAGAGGTTCCACTGATTAGCAAGGGACTACTGGTATCATGCTAAAAAGGAAAATATAGCAAGCACATCAAGTGCTGAAATCCTCACATCAATAAACAATGAATAAAAAGTGGTCTTTGGATTTAAATACATTCATACAAAATTTTGGATCTCAATGAACACAGGATGCTACTTTACATTAACTATTTTACATTAATTCTATTAGACCTTCATCTAAGTACAAATGAAACAAAAATTGAGTTAGCTGAGTTAGCTGCACAAATTATTGTGGAGCACTAACTAAAATATATAAGTAGAAAACATATAAGAAGAAATCTATTACAACTGAGATAAAGATATCTAAATGTAACAAAAATATTTATGGCCCTGTTAACTGATGACTTCTTCCCAACACTATTTAAGAAAAGCAGACTGGGACAAGCACCGAACCAAGAGTTCTAAGTTACAAGTACATGAACCTATCAACAACATGCCCAAGTAATTACGTTTATTTACTTGTAGAGACAGATTAATATCTTTGAAAAAAATTTATAACATAGTTAGACAACATATCCCTATATTAACCCTCAGACTCCATGGCTAGATGCCTAAACTTAGAAATACAGAAAATCCTCAAAACTGAAGTTAAATTCATAATATTCAGACCAACAACTTTTAAAATACTGAATTTAAAAACAAGCAAGAGTCATAAAACTTTTGAAAAAAGGAGTATGATGGAGAGAACTAGCCCTATCAGATATAAAAACAAATGGCCAAATATGATCATTAAAACAATGTGAGATCACATATCAATAAACAGATCCATGGAAAGAACAGAAAAATCCAGAAAGAAACCAAAATACATACGAGAATTTAGCATATGATTGAGATGGCATTTCAAATCAGTAAGAAAAAGATTGCTTATTCAATAAACTCTATTAGATCTATAAAGTAGCCATCTAGAAAAAACATAAACTAGAATCCATACTCACACCTTACATCAGGACTGATGTAAATGTTAAAAAAAAAAAAAAACATAAAAAAATTAAATCCTAATAATTCATTTACATAAAAAAATCAAAATCAAAAGACAAATGACAAATTGGGAAAAAAACACTTGCAACTAATACAGACAAACAGCTGTTTTCCTAATATACAAAGAGCCTCTAGAATTCAATTAGAAAAAAGACTAGAAACCCAAGAAAAATAAAGGCTGTATACAGATATTTCACATAAAGGAAGTGTAAATGAGTCATAAGCATGAGAAAAACTATTTAACCTTATTCTATAAAACCAACAGGACAAATAAAACTAGTTACATTCCATTTGCAACTGATCGAAAATGACAAGGATCCAAAAGTTTGACAACAGTATGTTAGCAAAAATGCACTCAACCAATTGTTGGTAAGAGTGTGAACTAGTACAACCACGACGAAAGAAAAGTTGATATTACATGTAAAAATTACAAATGCACAAACTTTTGAAACAGCAATTCCATTTCTGAGAATTTACATATATAAATAATTTCTGCACATGCAAAATGATATATATTCAAGGTTATTATCCATTACAGCATTTTTAAAAATAAAAGCCTAGAAACAATCTAAAAGCCTATCAATAGGAAGTTATATAAATTATGGTAAATAGAAGCAAGGAAATAATAAGCAGTTATTAAAAAGAATAAAGAATCTGTTATGTAATGATATGTAAAGATCTCCAAAACATTTTAAGTTATTAAAATAAGGTACAGAATCATGTGTAGAGTATGCTACATTTAATATGAAATGAGGAAATAGGTATATATATTTCTTTATATACACATATAATAACTCTGGAAGGACACACAAGAAACTAATAAGAATAGTAGCCATTAAGGAAGAAAATTAGGTAGCTGGGTGATAGAGGTAGGTGGAATTTTTTTAATAGAGTAACTTTAATTTTTAAATCATGCAGTATCATTTATTTTGAATTAAATACAATTTAAATTTTAAAGCATTTCTTACAAATCTTGGTGGAGGAACAGCCAAGTTCAAGCTACTCAGTGAAACCTCCAATCCATTCTGAGCACATGCCACAAGACGCAAAGCAATGAAGAATTCCTGAGAAAGAAAAGTATGAATGATAAGAACATTATCTTTCTACCTATTCACCTATCTAACCATCCATCCATCCATCTATCTAATTATCCACCCACACACATACTTATAATTTGAAAATACAAAACAACTCACAATTATTCCGAGGTTTTATGTAGCAACAAATTTAACAGCACATTTGCTTGAAAAATTTGCTTTAAAATTGAGAATATACAGATGTTAAATTATAATGTACACCTAAAAATTATATAATTGTATTAACCAATGTTACCCCAATAAACTTAATTTAAAAAAATAATAAAATTGAGAAGAGATCTACAAAGATATTCTGAACATTATAATTAGCAAGAAAGTGTTAATATAAATGGAAAAATACATAAATAAATTGTGATACATATGGACAGTAGATATTGAGCAAAATTAATAATCATGCTTCAAAGAATATTTAATATTAAGAAATGCTTATCATTTAAGTAAGAAAAATAATCTTAAAAAGGCCTAGAAGAAAATATCTAAATTTTATCAAAAGTCATCTCTAAATTTAAGATTATAAATTTTCAAACTGTATCATTCAAGTGACTCAATCATTGCTATTCCCCAAAAAATGACAGAATAACCGCACAGCATCAAAACAATTATATAACTGCTTGACTTCGAAATACTTGTAAATCTCCTCCAAAGGTCCTTGGATTTGGGGCATTTGAAAGCTTAGATCAAAATTTAATAAACATCCTAGCTACCAAATATAATAGACTCTTAAAAAAAAAAAAAAAAAAAGGCCTATTTGTTCTTTTGACAGCCTGGAAAGTCTGATCTTCCCTGAAGCTCTCCTCCTCTCCAGCAGCATAGCTTCTTAAAGCTCTCCCAGTTCTCCTCCAACCTTTCAAGTCTCTTCTGTTGGAGTCAATGCCTCCTCCAATCTTTAAATGCTGGTATCTCAGAATACATTCTAAGTATTCCAACATTAACCCTCTTTTACTTCTCATTCAATATGAGATTCAAACTACTCAATTAGGTAATCGAATCTACTCCTACAGGATAGACAGGCTCTGAAGTGAAACAGTCCTGCAATAAACTCTAGTTCTACTAAAAGTAGTGAGGCCATGGGCAAGTTAAATAAAAATCTTCCATAAAAGGGTGGCTAATACCTACCTAGCAATGTTTTATGAGGAACAAAATAAAACCATACAATAGGAGGAAAGCACCTACTGTCATTTTTGCCAAAAACCCAAGGACCTTTGGGAGAGATTTACAAATATTTTGAAGTCAAGCAGTTATATAATTGTTTTTGATGCTGTACGGTTATTCTCTGTTTTTCTGGATTAGCAATGACTGAGTCACCTGATTGATAGTTTCAAAATTTATAATCTTAAATTGAGATGGCTTTTGATAACATTTAGGTATTATTTTCTCCTATTTCTCCAAAGAAAACATCAAAGTTTAACTACAGACCCATAAATCCAGCAACCTATATGTAACAAAGACAATTTAAACTCAATATTAAATGGTAAATTCATGAAAATAAGAACCACATCTGTCATGCTCATCTCTGTATTTCCAAAGCCTGGCTCAAAACAGGTACTCAACAAATATTTGTTGACCAAGTACACTGAACCCTGAGTGCCCTGGGTGCCCAGATGAATTTAGTGTTCCTATGTCTCCAATGTATCAGATTGGCCCTTCCGCCCAGGAGTTCCAATAGAGACTACAATCTAGCCCTGGAATCTTAATTAAGAGACTGGGTATTCTGACCCTCTCATCAAATGTTTTCTCATCCCTTTTCTGAGTTTGATCCTGCTTCAGCCATTCCCACAGGGTAGGAATTAGCTTTGAGCAGCAGTGCTCACCCAGTATAACAGCATTTAGCAAGCTTTGAATTCAGTCCTGTAGGACTGAAATCCATCCCCAACAAGCAGAACTTCAAGGCACACGCCCATAACGACTTTCACATATTTCTGGTGGTAGCAAGCTTTGAATTCAGTCCTGTAGGACTCTGAAATCCATCCCCAACAAGCACACGCCCATAACGACTTTCACATATTTCTGGTGTAGGTTTACATCTAGCCTGTAAACCGCTTTTGTCAGAAGTAAGACCTAGACCAGAACACTTAGGTTTGATTAGCCAAGAATTCCTTTCAAATGTATAAGGGAATACCATCTTAACAATTAATAAAATCCACATTTATTTATAAACTCTGTACATGTAAGATATTTAATTAATAAGATACAAAGAGCAAAATCTCTGAAAGACTGAAAAAAAATTCCATGCTACTGTTTGATGTGTCACCCAAAAATTTTATGTTGAAATCATACCCCCCAAAGATGATGGTATTAGTAGGCCCTTTGGGAGGTACTTAAGCCATCAGTGTGGAGTCCTCGTGAATGGAATTAGAGCCTTATAAAAGAGGATCCAGAGAGATCCCTAGCACTTTCTGCCATGCGCAGATACAACAAAAAGTCTGCAATCAGAGAGTCCTCATCTGACCATGTTGACACCCTGATCTCAGACTTTCAGCCTCTAAAACTATGAGCAATAAATTTCTGTGTACAAGCCACCCAGTCTATGGTATTTTGTTATAGCAGTCAGAACAGACTGAGACAGTCCAGAACAATGTCGCCAAACTAATGTTAACCTTTGGACATTAGTTACTTTAGTGTCTACTGATTAGAAATATTTTCATTGTTATGACATTTGCCTTTGCAAAATTCTGTTAGTTAAAAAAAAAATTCTAAAAATACAGAAAACTGCTGGCTATTTTTTATTCTCAATCACTCAAAAAACTTTTCATATGAATCTTACTTGTTTGCTCAGGACACCTTTGCCATCGGTGTCAGCCAAATCCCAAATCTGAAATTTAGAAAAAAAGAAGTATCAATCTGTATTTTAAACAAACAAAAAAAAAAACCTTAAAAGATAAATTTAATCCTTGCAATTTACAACATCATGCTCTTTGGTAATTAGATTTAAGGATCATAGAATTCAAAGTGGAAAGGAATCTTAAAGATTATTCAGTGAAACCCTACACATAGATACTAAGGCCCAGTGAAGTTAAATGACTTACTCAAGAACATTTAACACATCAGGGAAAGAACTGAAACTCAGGTTCTAACTTCCAGTTCAATACCTTTTTCATTAACTTAGGTTCTAACTCTAAGTCTAATGTTCTTTTTACTAAAACATACTATTTTGATTTTAGATCCTTATTAAAGTGATATTCTTTCTTATATGCAAGTTGAAATAGTTAATGTTTATCTGTAAATAATTAAATTATTAATGATAACTTTTCAGGGTTTTGAATACATGTCAATATCACATATAAGACTTCACCAGGAGATCAAATCAGGAGAGGGACTTTCTACCTTTCTTTCCTAAGCTTCTCATCCCCCACTCTATTCATCACATATTAAACTCAGAGGAAGTAGAAATAGAGCCAACTCTCTGAGTGGGTGGAAATGTTCCCAGTCTGCACTGTTTCTCCCCACAATACCCAAATGTACTATAACTTCCTCATTTCATCCTACTAAAATGTAATTTGTTTTCTAAAAATTTGAAAAACACCTTACTTTTCAAGAGGGTAAATAACTATACCACAAATTCTCTCCCTTCTATTATTTAACTGCTTCTATGACTCAGTTCTATTCTAACTTCTAAGTTTCTTGATATCTTTCTCAATTTGCATCCAATTCATCTACACTACCAATTATTCATTATAATGTAGTTATAATGAACAAATACTACCTTTCCAAGTATTAGGTCGGGAAGCCCTGATTTTTTCAGGAAAGCAGCAGCATCAGAAGCTAATACCCTTCCAGTACTGCCCGTATCAACCTGAAAAGAGATAAACTGTAAGATGACAACAACAAACACAAAGACAAAATTATCAACATTTACTGGCCTTCCTTCCTGTGTTTTGGCAACTGGCTTTTTCAAAAAAGGAATCCTTTGACTAAACTAGGCCAAGGAATATATGGAGAGCTGAATGAAGAGAGTACCATCGACAGCACTGGCAATTTACAAAGTATTTTTTAATCACGCCCATTACACAAATGAGAGAACTGAAGCTCAGAGGAAGTAGAGCAAATTAGTGGAGTCATAGCATTAACACATATCTCCTGACTCCAAGTCTTCTACAGTTGCTATTTAAATTTCAATAAACTTAACTCTAGCAATAGGAGAGAAAGGGCAGCATTTCCTGGAGAGGTCTTTTGACAAATGGGAATAGCTGCATATGTTATCTGTTTTTTCAAACATCTTTAAATCATTAACTTCTGCTTTTACACTTACTCTTAGAAACTGTAACACTTTATTAAAAAATCAAAGCAGCTCTAAAACCAGCAGTGATTCCATAATAAACTTAAAGAAATATTTCTAAAAGCTGTTCCGCTCCTAAAGCACATTAAGGGAAACACATCACTTTAACTGAGGGGGACTTTCCTTTAAGACAGAATGAGGTCAGCAAGAATGGAAAAACAGTTCAAAAAAATAATGACTCTCACTTCTGTAAAGATTTCCTAAAGTTCTATTTGTAGAAATGAAAAGTAAGTTTTAAAAAGTTATGGGAAAAATAACATGATACTAGGCTATTTGTCAGTTGGCTATTTTTCTAATATTTTAAAAGATTAAGTTTGCTGTAAACATATACAAAGCATTCTGGACAGGCCAATCCCAGCAAAGCAGCAAAAGAGAAATCCTTTCTTTCAAGTGCTAAAACATGGGATACATCAGGCACTCAGTAAAAAAGAAAGAATTGCCAAGTCCAAATTTGGGGTAACAAAGAAGTACAAAAAGGGTTGGGAAACCTGCCTCTGGAACTCTCCAGAACTCCTTTTTTTTCCTTTCTCCCTGACCAGGGTGGAGAAAAAAAGAACACCTACTTCCAGTCTAGTCTAAATACAGAGGCACTCCGGGGAACATTAATCAAACTCCTATGAAATATTTATATACTGTATTCCAATAAAGAATTTTTCTATTTTCCATTCTTTTGGTTACTATAATAAATTAAACATAACCATCTAGTCATTGTCATCTACAGGCAATTTCTGTTGTACTCTGACGCCTGCCTCAAGTCTCTACCATAAGCTAACAACTAGAATTAAGTCTTCAACAAAGAAAGTCAGTCTTAGAGCCTCATATAAAGGCCTATAACACTGTACCCTGAATTGTTCACACTTCAAAATAAGGGCTTTTGGGTAAAGACTTCTCAGCTGACGACATCACTTAGACAACTTTCAGACTGTAATGGTGGACTAGGTCAGAATTTCCAGCAAGCACTCTTTGTAGTCCAGAAGTAGATTTATTTCATAAAAGCAGACTCCTGATCCAAGATGCAGGAGAATAAGAATTACATAAGACTGAATGAACTACTGAAGAAAATTTAATTATGGTTATTTACTTGGAATACTGTTGGTATTATTTTTAATATTCTCTTTGGTAAAGGATATGTGGGAAAGCCCTTTTTCTTCCAATACTATCTCTAACCCTCAATTTAACAAGCTCTGTGTTTGTAAAGTGAAAGAAATAGTTTTCAATGGTATCTGATTCTGACTCTTCAGAATTCAAAAATAAATCCTTTAACTGAATGTCCTTACCTTTTATGGCAATATAGTTATCGCATAGGTTAAGTAACAATTGGTCTTTTTATCGGGATATAATTGAGTAAATCAATTGTGCAAAACAAGGTCTTATTTGAGAATGATTCTCTTTTATTCAGCTAGAACAAGCCACTATTAAGGAACAAGAACTGACTTTATGTGGAGCCAATGTCTACAAAGCCCGGGCAAGAAAACAGGCCTGCAGTTGGGTTTATAAGGTCCCAGTCTCAGTAAAACAAGGTCACTTAGCAGGCTAGGAACCTTAGCAGATATGGGAACCTTCAAGATAAGATACATTCACTCAAATTTATATATACTGCAGGTGAAATTTGGTGGGGAGGGTATTTCAAAGGTTGGATTCTAGCTTCAAGACAGAGAACAGAGGCTGTAAAAAGTACGATCTAAAATTCTTTAGAAATTTCCGGCAAAAATTAATCCTCTGGACTTAGAAGTTATTAAATAGTGCATGTATGGTTGTGTACATTTGCAAGTCACACCCAAGGAGACCTATAATGGTTAATTAATACTTGCTGCAACTATGTAAATAGCCAGGTCAAATATAATGAGACCAGCCTTTTCTGAGATCATGATCACGAGGTGAGATAATTATTAGGAAAAATTAAGCAATATTTGGAAATGGGCAAATGAGATTGTCTATACCCTCAGGAGATTATCTGATCTATGGTATGTACCCCTGACAGACTTTCTAGCAACTAGGCTACTGTACGCTCTGTAAAGAGAGAGGTTAAATTGTAAAAAACTGATAGCAATGCAAACGATTCCTGTCCACATCAATGAAATAAATTCTGTCTGGAGAATATAAATCTCTATAACTCATATTCTCATTTTTATACTTTACTAGTTCTCCCAGAAATTAATGAGTTGAATAAAATCCTTGATACACACTCATTTTACATTTGTATGAGAATCACGATTTTAACTTTGTAAATATTAAACTTCAATAAGTCTCAAAAACAACATAAGAGTCATTTCCATTTGGTTTCTAAACTAAGTCGGACTTTTATACCTAGATGGATGGATATATCTAATGTTATATGAATTTTTAAGATAGATATTTAAGACAAATGTTTGGGCTTAATTATCTTTCCTTTATTTTTCTGAGAGTTTGTCAAAAGTATTAAGTACTCAAACCAGGAGGCTAAAGCACAAGAAAATAAAAACAGGACATGTCAAATTTATCCAATTGGCTGGTAATCTGTACATATACAATCAAGGGTTGAAAGTATATTTTATTTTCAATCTAGGAAAACAAACAAAATCTTACCTGTCTATAGTACTTTTCATATACAGGATTCCCACTTGATAACTAAAATAAATAAATAATTAGAAATTAAATGCTATTCAATAACTTCTATTAAGATATTTGCATTGATTCGATAGATATTTGCAAAATAAAGACAAATAGAATTAAAATATCCTTGATTTCAAAAATTTTGGTTTTTTTGGGGGGGTGGGAGGGGGAAGTGGGAATGAATAAAGGCAGCCTCATAGATCACTAAGAATTGAGTACAAGAAATAAAGCAAGAATTTTAAAGTTACTTTTGACATCAGAACTCTTTTCCTCATGCAAAATTTTACCCAGAAACCCAATGCGTAACAAATTAGGGGTGAAATGATTTGTTTAAAGATAGCTGAAAGGCCCAAAGCCTTAAGCATTCATCTTCTACCCCAGTGCCCAAAGTACCTATATATACAATTCAAAAACCATTTCGACAAAGTAATAAAATGAATATACAGGTTTACAAAAAGATATTGATATCTTCAGATCTGAAATGCTTGTAGGCAGGGAGTGCCATTCGATTCATACCATAATTCAAAGGGTTCTTTGGTCAGTTGATGAACAGATGTATTATCCCGTCCGAAAGGTCATTTAGGAGTATCAGTTTTTGAAGGCTTGAGTTCACCTCTCCGTGAATGTGTAAGAGTGTTCTGGAACCAGGAAAGGAGTCCAAGAAGGCTTCATGGGGGTGATATCAGTGCAGGAATTTGAAATATGAGTGGCAGATGAGGGTGATTCTATACAGAGTTAACAATGCGCAAAGGCATACAGGCAATAGAAAGCTCAGTTATGCTGAAAAGAATCACAAGAAGTTCTGAATGGTGATAAGGAGTAGAGAGATAAGATTGTGAAGTTTTGTATAATACAACTTATGAGGGGCTTCATCAGTCATGATAAAAGTAAAGAAAAATGAGGATGGAAAAAGGGGACAAATTAAAGAGTTATTAACTTAGTTCTAGGTGATTATATGTGAAGAGGAAAAGTAGAATGGAATGTAGAGGACTATTTAGAAAATAATTTTAATGGCCCAGGAAAGTATCTGAACACTGGAAATAGAAAAGGATATGTTTTGAAGAAAAGTTTATGTTAGATTTCACAGGGCTTATTAAGTAGATGAGAGGGCAGGGGAGGCTTAGTTAGAAATACAAAGATAATGGGAAAAATCTTGAAGCATCAAGCCTGGACCTGTAGTCTTAATGGGTACAAGACTGGATTAAGAAACCAACATTCACTGAGTGCCTATTTTGAGAACACATTATGTTAAGTGCTTTATAAATATTTAATCCTTGTGAGCACATATTATCTTCCCAGTTTACAAATGAGGAAACATAGGGTGAAGGTTAATTTTGTGTGTCAACTTGGCTAGGCTACAGAACCCAGTTGTTTGGTCTAACACCAGTCTAGATGTTACTGTAAAGATATTTTTCTAGATGTGATTAATATTTAAATCAGTAGACTTAAAGCAATTACCCTTCATTAATGTGGGTGGGCCTCATCCAATCGTTGAAGGCCTCATGAGAAAAGAATGAGGTCCCTGGAAGGAAAAGGAATTCTGCCTCCAGAATGCCTTGAGACTCAGCTACAACATCAGCTCTTCCCTAGGTCCCAAGCCTGCTGGCCTGCCCTGCAGAATTAGGACCTGCCAGACTCCACAAACACCTGAGCTAATTCCTTAAAGTCAATCAGACCATGAGCGTGCGTGCAGGTGTATGTATGTATCTCCTGTTGGTTGTTTCTCTGAAGAACCCTAATATACCTAGTCTCAGAAAGGTTACCTGTCCAAGCTTTTAAATGGCAAAGATTGGACATAAATGCAGGTCCGTCCCACTCCAAGTTCCATGCTCTTTCATAACACCATACTGCTTCCCATATGCCCTGGTTTGTTCAGGACAGTACTGATTTGCAATCTGTTGTCGCAGCATCCCATCTACTTTATCGTTTGTTTCAGATTTCTCATTTTCTTGAACTATTATTATTAATCGCCACATTAAAATAAACCAAGATGGACTCAGTACAACTCTCTTGTATCCATCTAGCTTCTGGCCAAGTTATCAGCTAGTAGTGTGTAAGTACTTTAACCACCTGAACAAGTGATGAAATCTGAGAAGAGAATGAGTGATAATTCCATCTTTCTTTTCCTGATTATTTACAGATACAACATAACTAACACCTTCTCTTCAAGGACAGCATGGAAAAGACTCACAGAAAAGTACCCTCAGACATAAGCAACCATGTATAGCAAACTCCTCATAGCCTTTTGAGACAGCGGAAGTATTTGACACTAGTGCACCTGCTGACTATTTGGTGTGCCAGTCAGTGAGCAATGTTGCAAGATGCACCAGGCTGCTAAGTCAGTGAGAAATTTGAGATCAGGGGAAACTGAAATACGTGAGAGGAGTCAAGTCTGAGAACTCGAGGTGGTTTTGTCATGTATCGTATGTTATAAATCTACAATTATTTACTTCTTTTTGTTGTTTGGCAATCATTTTTTATTATCCAATAAGCTCTTTCAGAAATAATGAGCTAAAAAAAGAAATTGTATATTTAATACAAAATTAAATGTCTTAATTTTGTACTAAAAATAAAGAAAAATGAGGATGGAAAAAGGGACAAATTCAAGTTATTACCTTAGTTCCAGGTGATTATTTATATGTGAAAAGGAAAAGTAGAATGGAATATAGAGGGCTACTTAGAAAATAATTTGCTATTCTTTCCTAAATTTCCATTTTTCTAGAAAATGGAGATAATTTGCATAAAACTTTTAAGGCTATTTCAATTTAAAATGGAGCTCTAGTGACATCCCTATTAATGAGTTAGCTGCAACTGTCAAAATTTATAAATTTTTTCATATATCCACAGTTAAAATTTTAAGGATAAAAATGCCATTGAATACCAAAACAAAACAAAAAACTTCAACACGGCGCTATGGGTGCTCTACTTGCAACCTGTCATCAGATTTTAAAGACTGGAATCTTTGAAAATCTGACTATAAATCCCACCTAAGTGTCTTAGTATTGAATCTTTCTGAAAACAAGTCCTCTAAAAATTGGTTGCATTTTGTTTAAAATCAGTTGGAAATCTTTAATTAAAGATTAAAGTTCAATGAATAAAGCTCCAAAAAAAACTTTAGCTTTGAAGCTTTTAGCAAATACCAATTATTATAAGCAACATTTGCTAAGACATGGAAATATATCCCTCAAAAGCATGGGAAGAACTGAACAAATTACATGATAAAAGCTCAAGAAGTATATAAGATTTAATTTTGAAATTCCATAATTAACACTTTAATGAATTGAGGGAGTTCTGCCAAAAGAGTCTTCTTACTTTTAATTGGAAAAACTATATTCTGTACTGGAATGAAATGAAATTACAGAAAGCCTATAATTTTGCAGCACTTAAATTTAATGAAACATGTAAAATAATCATAAATAGTGACAACTTATATGACAAGATTTGTTTTACAAAAATATTTGTCAAAAAGAGTACCTTTAAGAAGCAAAAAACACTACCTGTGAAAATATTGAGCCTGATAAACTTATAGTTTTCAATAAGAAAAAAATAGAATTCAGAATATTCTCCATTTAGTAAAATTTTTCCTGAGATAACCAGGTAGTACACAATGTATACAGAAAGTAATTAGCAATTTAAAATATTACTGATTATGAAGAAGAGTCACGTGTAAGGGTTAACAACCACAAACCATAAAATGTAAGTCTGAAAAACACTGCAGACAATTTTATGAAAATATTAAAACCAGTTAAAATATACTTGAAAATAATTACATTGTTCAGAAAAGTATTAGGGACACCTTATTAGAGAAAGGTATGGCTAAGAAGCTGATAAAAATATTATTACCAAGAATACTTATTCTGCTTGTGTTTTGTAATATTCTGATAACCAATGTAAAGATTTTATTTTGTTGTAATATAGAACAAATGTTTTAGAAATTTTTATTTTTGAAAACAGACTGAATAGAATTGTTTCACTCATCTACCATTGTTTCAATAAAACTATTTTGATGGCCGAAAAAATATTTTTAAAAACTTACAGAATTTAAAATATTTGCAGTGCCACTTTCATTCTCAAAGATGTCCCAGTTTGAATGAAAAATTACAAATTCACCCTATTTCCAGGCAAAGATATAAATACTTTGCTAGAGAAAGTAAATGTAATGTGTTCCCTCAATAAGGAAGAGTTAATTTTTAAAGACAATTCAGTTAAATTTTTAGTATCTAGGGAAAAAAAAAATTCATAGTGAAATCCTGAGCTCCAAACTGTACCTTATTAATCATCACATTACAAACTCATTAGGTTACTACACAACACATTTGAGAAGGCATTAGCTCACTAAAGTGTTCTAAAGTACACCTTGTGCTGATTACTATACTAATACGATACAGTTAAGTGAGAATGGAAAAAGCCATCCAAATTGCCAATTCACTCATTGAGCTAGATGACCAAAGAGTCCTCTTGGTGTGTTTCAGTAAAACTGGCTTTTTTTTTACTGAAATATAATCATTTTAGATTTTTAAAAGTCCTGTACACAATACACATAATGAATGCAGAGAACAAAATGTGAAAGGTATAGCTATGGTAACAGTGATTATCTTTGGATAATGGAATTACAATAATTTTCACATTCTTTACATTATTCTGTATTCTACGAAAACTTTTTTTTAAGCATGTCCTCCTTTTATAAGTAAAATAAAACAATAAAGCTATTTTCAATTTGGGGGAAAATATAAAAATCCAAAAATTTGTTATCGGTATGCAAAATTGCATGTGAATTTTTAACAAATAAATATATTTCTAAAGGAAAACTTTTAAAACTAAAGTTGTCACAATCAAAATCTGACCTTTTAAAATTCTAATGTTATAATAATTTTAAAGTAATTATTTATTCATTATTTATATCATAAATTCTTATCAGTTGCCACAAAGTAAAAGAGGGTGAGAGGACTGCTAATTTTATTAAGAAAAAATTATGTAAAGCAGGGGTCCCCAACTTCCCTACCCCGCTGTCCCCC